GCTGTTGTTTCTCACTCCTGTGACCACAGAAAATGAGAAATTTTCATAATTCCCTAATGTAGATTCGGTACTTAATGGGACCGACTGATATGCTCTTGATTCTGAGAAATCCTATATAGACTATGTGGCTCGGGGAGGGTTCCACGCTTCTGTGAGACTTAGCCACATCAGGATATCTCGGCGAGAGGGCTCAGACGAGCCCAATATGACGTGACTCCGTACCACCTATTCTGGGAATGCAACCATTCTGCTGTTTCCGCGTGCTTTAGGAGGGGAATTCTTCGAAAATCACAAGGGGATGTGGGGTTCTGCTAAGCTTTCTATCGCATCAAAAACCTAACTACAACAGTGAAATAAAACAGCGACGAGGTTGAGGTTGTCATGAACCGAAATTTCCTAAGTCATGTCAGAACATGTCGTGACATTTCGATGAGAGCAGCACATTCCACGCTGATCGTATGGGCGGAGTCAAGCTAACCGTTAGGGCAAATAAATGTGCCTTCTTCGCTGTTCTATGCGATCTCTTTACCATTTTAAAATTAGGATGAGCAATGTTTGGCCCTCATTGTGTCTTTATTTTTGAATCGAGTTGTGATTCGAACACTTTCAGCCACCTCTGTTTGAGCGCAGTAAAGCAAAGCAAAAAGAATGCTGAGTTATGTATGGGCAAAAGTCTTGGATCAAGTACCTCACGCTTTATCAAGTACCTCACTCCTTTCGGGCGAGTGCCCAATCTAGCACGCTACCAGCGCCGCTCTTACCTCTTGAACTCAATGTCCTTCTGGGCGAAAAAATTAAGTTTTCGCCGTTGGCAAACCCTTTTTGGGATGCTGCCACACTCTACTTTTTGAACCTCAGTGGCATTTTGAATAGTATGTGGTCTATACAATGACTTTCGGGGGCCGGCCAATGTGCAGGTCAATGACGAATCTGGTACCAATCTACCGTACTCGGAGGTCAGACAGCTTAGGAGGTCCGGGTTTGAATCTACCCTGGTCTATACAATGATTTTCGGGAGTTAGCCAATGTACAGGTCAATGACGATTCTGGTACCAATCCCGCCAGGACCGCAAGCGTGGTAAGTAGGCCACTTGTAACTACACCACCTCCGCCTCACTAGTGATAAGCCGCCGAAATGCTGAGCGCAGATTACTCTTCACAAATTGTAATTAATAATTAACTGGCGCTGAGCAAGAAATGTAGCCGAATCATTTGCCACTACTATTACATCTTTTTTTTCGAGGATTGGTTTTTCTCACAGCTGATCTAAATTGCTTTTTTCAGCCGAAATCGGTCGACGATGATGGTTCATCCGATACTGACGACGAGTTGGAGGAGGACGAAGATTCCACCTCAGACGGCATTGTGCTTTTCATCTCGTTCGTCATTTATATCGTCATCGGATCAATAGCCATTGCCGCATACGAACCGAATATGGGTGTTTTCGAGGTAATCATCTTGCATTTCCCCCTTCTTCACAATGTGTTGATTTCCATGCTGTCAATCAGCATAGAATCTTTGCACTTAATATCGCCTGAAAGAAAGAAAACGCCCTGTGGTTTCTCAAGACAATGGCCACAAGTACAGTACTCA